ATTGAGCACCCGTTGGGTGCCAGGCACAGTGCTAGATGCAAAGATGCAGCAGAGTGAAACAAAATCCTTGACCTCATGAACTTATGTTCTGATATGGGAGACAGAAAACGAACAAAGAAACACACATATGTAATATAAATGTCAGGATGAAAAATGCTCTGGAAAAAAACCCCCATAAACCTAGGTAAGGGAATAGAGTGTTCTTTGATGGGAAGAAGGAAGATATGTTAGAGGAAAAGTCTCTTAGAAAAAATAACGTTTGGGCAGAGATAAAAGTGCAGTGAGCTTGTTTCACTTATGAACTGAAAGCAAATGAATAAATGAACAAACATATAAATGCAGGCTTGAGTGAGTTGGAAATGGAATGTGGAAGGAAGACACTCACCTCCAACATCTTTTTGCCCTCCTTCCATTAAGTAAACAACAGCTATCTTTTTCAATGCTAGTTATTTTGGACGGGACATGAGTTGAGATTGGTCAGCAGTATATAGTCCAGATGGGAGAAGGCCTGCCCCCATCTCTTTTCTCTTAGGGGAACAGGTGAATTCTTTGCCCACTTAGGCTAAGGTCGAGGTTGATGGCGAGGGAATCCAACTGTAGAGGACATTGGTTGTTTTGAGTTGGCTAGATCCTCACCACTCCCTTCCTATATCAGCCAAAGGGAGGAGATCTTTTCCCCTGTCCCAGCATGAGGTACACAAGTCCCTGAGATCTTCCCACCTCCCAGCATGCTGTAGAAGTCAGTCCAGTGAGTGTCACTTCACAGATGTGCAAGGGATGGAGTGAGGGCTTCCAGGACATGCATTCCAAGGCCAGTGACCAGCCACCTTTGGCTTATTTACAAGAGGCACCTCTTCCCTCTGCTCCCAGAGGAACAGCTTCCTGGTTTACCTCCTTCCCCGGTGTCTTCCAGGCAGAGTCACGCCCTCTACCGTGCCATTCAAAGTTGGACTTCCTCAAGGCTCAGTCCCAAGTGCCCCACCTTTTTCTCAAAACCAGCTGACAATGGGTGGTATTGAGGTGTGGTTTTTTTATTTGCATTATTTTCAAAAGATGTCAGCATCTTTTCATATGCTATCGACCATTTGGATACCCTCTTTAAGGAGATGCGGATTTGTCTTTTGCTGGCTTTCCCCCTCTTTTTCCTTATTGGATTGTTGCTCTTTATAATATTTTGGCTAGGAGCTCTTTTTCACCTCTCTCTGTTTCTATTTCTTCTCCTACTTTGCCACCCATTTTTCCCCCCACATAATGGTGTCTTTTGATGAAGAGAAATTCTTTTTTTTTTTTTTAAATAATATTCTTTTATATATATATATATATTTTATTGATTTTTTTACAGAGAGGAAGGGAGAGAGATAGAAACGTCAATGAGAGAGAAACATCGACCAGCTGCCTCTTGCACACCCCCTACCAGGGATGTGCCCGCAACCAATGTACATGCCCCTGACCGGAATCGAACCTGGGACCTTTCAGTCCGCAGACTGACGCTCTACCACTGAGCCAAACCGGCTTCGGCTGATGAAGAGAAATTCTTAATTTGGATACAGCCCAATCTATCAAATCTTTCCCATTTGGTCGGTGTGTGTGTCCTCTGACAAGTCTTTGCCTACTCCCAGGGCATGAAGATGTTTTTGTCTAAGAGCTTTTGTATTTGATAGTTCATATTTAGAGTTTGCCTTTGTGGAAAGTGGGAGGTAGCAGTGAAGAGTTTCTCCTCTCCCCCTCCCCCCATGGAAGTCCAATTGACCTATTACTAGCTCAATCAAACAAAGTAACATTGCATGGTGGTTAGATAGGTGTTCATTGTACCAGATTTGCAATTTCTCTATAGGTTTAAAATGTTTTAAATAAAGTGTTGGGGGAGAAATTATGAAAATAAAGACAGAAGAACTGTTGAAAATAAACAAATAGTAGAAATAATTCCAAATGCAATGTGTAAACTTGGATTTGATACTGTTGAAAAATAAACAGCCATTAAAGACATTCTTTTTAAAAATGGGGAAATTTGGGATGAGTCGTATTTTATTGGATATTATGACATGATTGTTCATTTTCTTAGATGTAATGACATGTTTATTTAAGAGAATGCAATTTTTCTTAGGCTTTTTGAAGTATTGAGACATGATATACCAGTAAGGCAGCAACTTACTTTTAAATAACTCAGGAAAAAATTGTACATATAAACATAGGTAGATAAAACTAGGAAAATGATAACGATTGTTGAATCCAGATGGAGAGTGTTCCTTGTACTATTATTTAATGTTTTCTGTATGTTTGAAAATGTTTACTGAAGAGATGGTAGGGGAGAGGCCAATATGTGGGCCAAAAAAAAAAAAAAAAGTGGTTCAGGTCAGTTTATTTTGGGTCTAGGGCTTTGTCTCTGCTCTCGCTTATTCCATACCATTACACAGATAAATAGAAGCTCAGAGGGGTGACTTATTCAAGGTCATACAGCCATTTGAGATCAAGCCAAGATTTGAACCCACATCTGTCTGAGTCAACCCACATCTGCTTTTCTTTTTCGTTGTTTAAGCCTCTTCTCTCCCATCTCATTCCCCAGGGTTGTTGGAGCTGGCGAGAGCTATGTGCATTTACTACATGTGCCAGGCTTTGCAAATATTACTCAAATCCTCACTACAACCTGATGTAGTTGTTACTAACAACATCCCCCACTTTACTGAAAGGCACAGAGAGGTTAAGTTACCTGCCTAAGGTCATTCAGGAAAGAATGGAAGAGCTGGGAGTCCGGGCATTCTGATTCTACAGCCCTCACTTAAAGGATCAAAGAAACACTGTGAAAAGTGTAAATCAACTTTAGAAATATAATGCAGGCTATTGTTGGTTCTCACAGAATGCCTGCAAAATCCCCTTTATTCCTGATTGCTTCTGGCATTCCAACGCAGTCCCCCCCAGGTTCAGATGTGTCTACACAGGGAACATTTGTCTCCTCAATCCGGCTTCTTGAAGCTGGGGCTGGTTCTACTGGCCCTGGCCATGAGTTTCTTCTCTACCTTTGAGATCTTCTGGCCTGGGCTGATTGAAAAGTGATGTTTTGAATATGGTCTCACACTATCCTATCGAGTAGCATGCCAATTTGCCTGCAGAATGAGAATCAGGAGCCAGACGGAATGCTGAGGCAGTTACAACCTAGTGACCAAGGATCTGCCTTGGGAGACAGGTCAATTTTGATTTGAGCCCTTAAGCTTAATAACCATAAAATTATTTTCGTTGCTACTACATAACTGTAATTTTGCTAGCGTTGATGAATCGTAATGTAAATATGTGTTTTCCACTAGCAGTGTTGAGATCCACAGATTGAGAACCGCTGCTGTAGAGCCTAAGACCATTGGAAAACACAGATATTTACATTACAATTCATTAACAGTAGCAAAATTACAGTTATGAAGTAGCAATGAAAATAATTTTATGGTTGGGGGGTCACCACAATCTGAGGAACTGTATTAAAGGGTCGCGGCATTAGAAAGATTGAGAACCACTGGGTTAGGTGAATTGCTCCTCCCTCTAGGAGTCCCCCTCCCCTGCTTCTTCTTCATCCCCTTCTCTTTCTCCTTCTTCTTTAACCATCTATATATATAAAAGCCTAAAGGACCAACCAACCATTCTATCGTCCAACTGGTAGTTATAATGCGCACTGACCACCAGGGGGCAGGCGCTGAACACAGGAGCTGCCAAGCTACAGTGACTTGGCAGCTGCGGTTCTCGGGTGACACACCAGGAACCATAAAGGAGGGAGTCTGATTCCAGGATGTGTCACCCGAGAACTGCCCTCTTGCAATCCGGGACCCCTGAGGGGATGTCGGAAAGCCAGTTTTAGCCTGATCCCTGCAGGCCAGGCTGAGGGGCTCCACCAGTGCATGAATTCATGCACCAGATCTCTAGTAGGAATAAGAGTACATACCTTAGGATGTAATGAGATAAGTAAAACCAAATGTCTCTCAGCATGTCTTCACTTATGATTTTTGTGGGATGTGGACCCTGCTTAGAATTCCAGCTTCATCCCTGTGCTCTCCCTGTCTTACTAGAGTCAACCTGGGGCCACATCAGGCTTTTTAACCTCAGGCCTTTGCACCTGCTATTCACTCTTTTATGTCTCAGTGCATGTCACCTGCTCAGTTTGGCCTTCCTTGACTCCACTGGCCTGTCTCCTGCTTTCTGGTGTTCCTATCACTTATCACAGTACCAGATACTATGAATTGATCTGCTTTTTTTCCTCCTGCCATTTGAATGTAAGTTCCAAGAAGACACAGATTTTTGTCTGTTTTGTTCTTTGTAGCCTCCCCAGCATCAAGAACGGTGTCTGGCCTATGTCTGGCACTCCATACATGGAGACTCGAATGAAGGAGTGAATGGGTGAATGAATGAAAATGTAGAGCGAGCTCCCCCATCTACAACCCCAGATCTTGTGAGCGGCCCTCGGGGGGAGACCAGAGGCTTCAGACATTGCAGATGGCACTTCGGGGCTCCCGGGGTGGGGGCGCCCGAGCGCGGAGCCAACGCGCACTAGAGCGCCGCTCCCCGAGAGCCTGGGCGGCGGCGGCGGCCGCGCCCGGAGAGAGGGGCTGTCGCCATTGGGCGGCGTTCCCCGCGGGCCGCGGGGCAGCGGGCAGGCCGGGCGTGAGCGCGCGCGCGCGGGTTTTTGGCTCCGGGGCTCCCCCGGCGGCGCTGGCCCCGCCCCTCCGTCCCGCTGGCCCCGCCCCTCGCCCCTCGCCCGGCCCCGCCCCCGCCCCCGCCCGCCCCGCCCCCGCCCCGCCGCTGCGCTCCCTCCGGGCCGCTCCGGCCCCTGTTCGCTTCATGTGTCCCGGCCCGCGGCGGCCGGCGGCTGGGAGCGGCGAGGCGGCGGCCAGTGGCGGCCGGAGAGACCCGGGCGGTGGTGGCCGAAGCCCAGGCGGCGGCGGCGGAGGGAGGCCGAGGCGGCGGCGGACGGGAAGCGGCGGGAGCAGGCCCGGCCCGGCCCTCAGGCGGCCGCCGGCTGCAGCATGCGCGTCCGCCGGGGGCTGCTGCGGTTGCCGCGCCGCTCGCTGCTCGCCGCGCTCTTCTTCTTCTCGCTCTCGTCCTCGCTGCTCTACTTCGTCTATGTGGCGCCGGGCATAGGTAAGGCGGGGGGCGCCGCTGTGGCCTCGAGGGGACCCCGGGAACCCCCGCCCCGTCCTGAGAGGATCCCGGTCCCCGCTGGATCCCCGGCCCGGGGGAGGCGAACCCGAGCCGGGAAAACAGAAAGCGACGGGCACCCCGGCCTGGCCCTGGGGACACTCCAGGACGTTCCCGCCCTCTGCGCCCCGAAACTCCCTCCCCATTCGCCCGCCGCCCGCCGCCCTCCTAACCCCATCCCCGGGCGATAGCGGCGCGCTCTCAGCAGCCCTCCTGGAGCCGGGCGCCCCCTTTCCCGCCCTCCCCTCCCCGGAACCCTCACTTCCCGCTTCTGGGCTCCTGAGCTCCCGCGCCTCCTGCCCCGGGGTCCCCTCCGGCCCCCCAATCCTGGCATTCCGTGCGCCGAGCCCGGGGCTGGAGGCGCCCCACCTTCCCCGTAGCCGATCCATCCTCCCCCTCCTGCCTCCCGTGACTAAACCGTTTCCTGCTCATCACCCTACCCTTTCTTCCCTCCACTTTCCCCTCTCCATCCACCTCCATCCTTCTCCATCCTCCTCCCAGCGCGCACACGCTTTGCCAAGTGCCCGGGTCGCCGTTCTCGCCCGGTGGCACCCCCCTTCCCGTGGGAACGTCCTCTCCCCATTCAATGCTCAAACCTCGTGAGCGTCCTGGCCGGCTCCCTGTCTGTGCCCCGCCCCGCCCCGCCCCGTCCACCCCCAAGGGCACACTTGTCACTACCTACCCCCCCCCTTCCGCCTTCACACCCCTCACCACTCACCACCACAAAACCTCACCCCCTTCTTGGTCCTCTGCCCCATAGTTTCCTCCCGAGCGAAGACTTGAGGTGCTGTGGGCGCTTTTCCTTTTTCTTTCACTTCCTCCCACTCCCAGCCTTGATGGTAGAAGTGGCCCTTTAGGATTCTGTGGTGCCTGCTCTGGGGTCAGAGGGGACATTTAAATTGCCCCTGGAGAAGGAGATAGGATAAGGGCCTTGGGGAAGTGGTGTCAGGTGGAAAAGGAGGAAGAACGGAGAAAAGATGGGATGGTTGTTACTCATTCTTCTCAGAGGCATATCCTTTAAAGGAAAGACAGCCACCGAAGAAGCTGAACCCTGCCCAAGACTTTTATAAGACCACAGAGCAGACATCCAGGACGTGACCAGAGATCAGAAAGAACCGTAGCAAGAGGGTGAAGGTCAGAGAACGTGGAGGCCAGACTTGGATTGTGAGTCCCTGGCCTGGATGACCTTGGGTTAGTTAGTAAACCTCAGTTTTTCTCCTCTGTAAAATGGGATACTGATCCTAAACGCGTAGGGTTTTAAGGAGGGAAGTAGATAAATTTCCTTTGAAAACATTTATCACTGTACCTGATGCATAGTTTTCATTAAAAAAAAAACAAAACTTTAGAAAGAAGGGAGTAGATGGAAGGTTTCAGGAATGTGTTTGCCTGACTTGGCTAGAGAAAAACTTCAGTTTAGGGTGAAAAATGATCAGGAGATGTTGAGGGTGGGGCAAGGAGAGTAAGTTCTGCTAGAAAAAGTGGATTATTTGCATGTTAGGAAAAGGTTGATGGTTTCATTAATTATAGAGAAATGCCATATAGGATTGTAGTAGTGACTAGTGCCTGTTGACTTATCAACACTGAATAGAGACGTTTCTAGATGGAGCAGGAGATTCTCTCCTGTTTTTTTTTAAAAGCATATTTCACTTGATGGTTTGTGCTGTAACTAGGTCTAGGAAGATAGAACAGGCAGCATCAGATTGCCCTAGCAGTTCCTGAGGTGTCTTAGGAAAAGCACCCAGTAGGTAGGAGTTTTGGCAGAAACAGGAACAGGTTGAGTAATTAATAGAGTTAATTGAGAATAGTTCATTAGCATATTGGATATTAGACTCTGATAAAAGTGGGTGTGAAATGATGGATTTGGACCCAGAGGCAGTCTTAGAGCCATAAACCCTTTTGTGAAAGTGACAGGTTATTTCTGCTGTGGGTGCATAAATCAGCCTTATCTAAATGGAAAAATGTATCCCTCTGGGATAGCGGTCCCCCTTTTGATTAGAAAAAATTAGAAGCCAAATTCTCCAACAGAAATGGAATTTATCAACTTAATTAAAATTCCTTAGTGGTAGACTTTTGGGTCAGTGGAACCCCAGTGAAAAGTGATGGGCTTTTACCATGCTTAGATTCCTGTAATACCAATAACGGAAAAGGCTGCCAAGCACTTACATTTTTCAGTGTATCTCCTTAAATGTAAGTCTTCTAAAAGCAGATCTGCTTAGGATTTAAATTCTGTTAGTGGAAGAGGATGTGGCGTGGTTTTAGGTTTCATGAAAGCATGGCTCCGTTCAGCCAGTTCGGTGGTTTTTACTTGGCTTTCTTGTTAATGAGCTTAATTTTTCAAATGACCAGGTTTGGACAGTGGTACGGCGTAACTTTTCAAAAGGTTCAGGCAGTCTTTAGAAAACTAGAAGGTTTTATGTGCTTTGGGATATGAAGACCTTATTTGAGATAATTACTCAGATGAGCTTAGAAAATAACATTAGGTCAAACCAAATGAAATTTCTGTTTTTGCAGGGAAAATACAGTTGTATGTAATGGCAGTTTGGTATGGCTCAACCTAATATACTCCCAAGTAATGACAATTGTTTTCTGGCAGAATGGAAAGTGTCAGACTTGTATTTCCTTCCAGGTTTAATTTTTTTCCAGTCCTCACTTTTGATTTGCTTTCTATACCCTGTGGCCACATTTTGTTCAAGGGCTAAAGAGAAACCATCACTCCAAGAGTGTTTTATAACTGTATTCAGAAATAGGTAGACTTGGATTGGAGATGAGAAAGATCATTGTTGGTTATAAAAGTTTTAAAGTTGTTCCTATAATATAACCCAGCCACGATTTCACCCTAGCCATTAACTTAGTACTTTTGAGATCTAATGTCAGCTTTTAATATCAGTGACTCATAGTTTCAGAGCAACGGGAAATTTTCCTGGACCTGAGGTCATCTGAAATGGGGTGATGGTACTATTTGACTGAGGAGATTGGATCTCAGGAAAATTACTAAATATGACGATAGTGTATTTGTAATAAATACAAAGTACTCTTAACCACTTTAATGTCCCCATCCTGATCCAAATGGTATTTTTAAATACATGGCTTCATTGGACATTATGTTTTTGTTGTTAATTCAAAAGTAATGTCCTTTTTTTTTAAATTAGCAGTTTAAAAGTAGAAATGAAAAGGATGGGGCAGAAAGTGTGATGGAAATGGTGGGTTTGAAAAGGAAGAGGAAGGTGATAGGGTGATAAAAACGCCTCCTTTTTCTAGTCCTCTCCGCCCCATAGCCTGAATGATTCTGGTTTATTTAATCACTAATTTTACCTGCACTGTTGAAATCTCCCTGTTCCTTTCAGGGTTCTGAAGAAAACTTTGAACTTATTTATGATCCTTTACCTTCGAAAGGATCTACGAGCTCAGAGTACTTCCATATTCCAGTCTGACCAGGTCTTTTTGAAGATATGTAAACTATTTATAGATGCACATATGAAGTGCTGATTAAAAAAAAAAACCACTTTAATAAGTCTATGATGCCATCATGTGGGAAGGTTAGATAGAGGTTACTGACCTTTGCAAATTGTTAAATGTTGCCAGTTTTGAGAGAGTTGCCTTTATGCATTGATGAAATTTTATTAATCGCAGTTCTATCATTTAAACTAATTTTTTTGTTTGTCCTTTGATTATTGAAGAAAGGAAATGGAGAATAGTTTTTTTCCTTTTGGCCTGCTTAGTTCCGACAAAAGTTTGATTTATGGCTGGCTTTTGGAAAGCAGGAATCAGTAATTCTAATCCCACCTGACGTGACCAGATGACCTTGAGCAAGTCGCTTGGTTCTCTGATCTTCCACTTGGCACAAAAAACAAAGCTGCTTGAAAAACTAGAACTACATATTAGCCAAAGTTTTAATGAGCTGTTTCTATGCTTGTCCAATGTGAAGAAATTGTATAGAAAGTTGTTTACATATAGAAAGTTGAGAATTTATTCACACTCTGTACAAATATTTGACCTAAGATTTTAGATAAAATGCATGTTTTATATAATCAAATGCAACTTTTTCTAATAACTACAGGAAATTTCAGATTCCCCTCAGTTGAATATTGTATGGAAATAGCCTTTTGGCATTGTTTCTCACATGAAAATGCGTCTAAACGCCTCAATGCACTTAGTTTCTGAGCTTTTCTGGAATGAAATAAATGTGGAGACATGTGGGTTATTTTATTTTAGAAAATTAAGAAGCCCCACCCTGTTAAAGACAGCCCCTCCCTCCATATGTGCCTGCATATGCACACTCACATATTTCCTTTGAGTATTGCGTCATGTCATTCTTCTTAGAAGGCTGAAGTCGTAAATCTGGACAGTACCCTTTTGACCAGGACTTTGGTCGGTCATGTTTTATGTTCTCTTTTGCTATGTTGGAAACAAGGTCATGGATTTGGAGTTGAAATGTCTTTAACAGTGAAAATCTGCTAGACTTGGACAATCTTCGGAGGCAGCCGTTCAGACAGTATCAGTTACCTTTCCAGGCCATCAATATTCAAGCCAGGAGACCGTTCTGCTAAAATCCAGTTTCCTATTCCCACCCTATGCCTGACAGGCCTGAGGGAGCAGCGTAAAATAAATCACCAGGAAGGAAGGTCTCTTTGTGTTGACTCTTCAGAGCTCTCAAGGGAATAGGAATTCCAAAGCCATAGAGGCCAGAATGCTACTGACCTACTTGCCCCAATTTTATAGTTTTTTAGATCATGGGAGCTATGTTGAACACATGGAACCGTAAAAAGCAAGCAGTAAGTGAGGAATGTGATGCTGCTGAGGCCTGTCAAAAACAGAGAAAACTGGAGGCTAACGTTGGTCGTGATAAAAGATAATCTGAAGCAAACAGATGGGGTGTTGGCTTACAAGAAATTATTGGCGCTATCATGAGACGAGGGAGGCTTGTGTGTACTGTTAGGGCAGTT